TCCATTCATATTCAACAACAGAAAGTCTTTATCCCTGTTAATTTCCCAACAAAACATGTCCACTTATCCCTGATACTTATTTTTAGCAAGGACTTGAAATAAGGAGTGCCTAGAGGCTTGGAACATTGCATGCCCTATTGATGGGGGTGGTGGTTGAGTGGGAAACCCTTGGGCTGGCTGACAGTCTCCTTTTGTTTACTGAGAAATGTAGAAGTCAAGAATTTCACATACACTCTTGGGTTCCTCTGAAGGAGTCACCTCTCTTTTTCTCCCCAACATCTTTTCTGTTGTTCTTACATGACATTTCTGACATTTCTAAGGAGCAGAAAATGCTATTACCAGGCATACCTTTGACTTTTCATAGAATTTTTTTTTATTATTTATGCTCATGTGATGATGAAAACCAGAGATCATTAGGACCAATGTATAGGCTTGAAGACCCCTTGTGAGAAACAACTGTGCATGCAGTGAGCTGAGCCACCTCTCAGTCCTTCCCAGCCAAGGAATACCAGGAGAAAACCCATTTCCTTCAATTTTTGTTGACTCTACCCTATATCCATTCCTCTGCAGGCTACTCTTCCCCTCCCCTGTGTTTTTGTACTTCTGCACATTAGAATATTAGGTCAAACACCCTCACTAAAAATTGTGCTGTGCTATATTTCTGAGTTTCATCTTTCTGCTTAATTTTCTCCTCATCTACTGAAGACATCAATGAGAAACTAATTTTCCCCTCAGATGTTTGCCCTTTGATCACATCAGACTTTACTATAAAGATGATGTCAAATGGGGCTTCCCCAGTTCGTTATAAATATTTACTGTGAGCTCCAAAGTGCCAGGAAAATCAGAATCACTTCTTGCTTTTGGAGATGTTAACAATTTTCATTATTTTCCCACTCATTGTACACTATAGAAAATCTGTTATGGAGCCTTAGGGGTCTGTGTTCTGGAGGATGAGGGAAGTGTCACATAATCTGGTCCTTTACTGGTACATAAATTCCATTATTGTATCGTTTACCCTAACAATGATGGGTTTGATACCTGTGGAGGAAGTAGAGAGAAGGATTGTTTGCTGTAGAAACCAGTTGAAATTCAATCTGTAGACTAACCTAATTACAGGGCATATGATAATCAGACTAGATGACAGGGGTTTTTTTTCTAAAAACTTAAACCTGAATATACTGTGTATTGTCTAATTTTAGCTAGCTACAGTGACAGGGACAGTGTGCTGTACTTTGCACAGCAGGTAATAGAAATTTGAGATATATTTATGTAGAGATAAAAATAGAATATATCTTTATATGTTTATATTTAACATAAGTCAATATCTGAAATGCAAATATATTTTATCTAATGTATAATAAATTTTAAATATTTTTATATACTTTTATAGATATCAAATAGAAGTGATACATATTTTTAATATATATGTAATCCAGTGGAAACCAATAGTTCACAAAAATGTAATTATTTATATTTTTTTTGCAAATTCTATGTAGAGCAAATTTTCCTACTAAGAACTAGTTCTGTTTAATGGAAAGATCCACTATCTCTACTGTAAGATCCTGACTGCAAACTCCTGTGGGGCAGGTTGCAAAGCTGCAGCATGTAATGAGGAGCCTTCCCTCAGTTTGTTCTCTCAGCCTCTAATGGCACCAGCTTCAAAGCAGAGTTGTCATAGAGTGTCTTCATGATGCAGGAACTGTTACCAAGAGCTACCTGACCTCATTGTGCAGACTTCATCTTGGCTATCTATCAGTCAGATGCATTTTTAACATTGATAAATCAACTGCACAGCTCAATTCCAGAAGGTGCACCCCTGCTGAGTGCTTATCTCTGTGCTACAGTCTTTTACACCAAATTCATATGGAGTGGTGTCATCAGGTTCTGAGGAGAGAGGGAAGCAGGAAGAGCTCATAGATTAAATTTTAGATTAAATTTTACAAGAATAAGGCCTGTATTAAAACATAATGCATTGATGAGAACAGCTATCTGTATGGTAATTTCCTGAGGTTTAATATGCTCATCACAGTCTCCAATAGGTAAAGTGGGTAGAACTTGTTAATGTGATTAATATTCCTACATAGGAAGGCAAACAATCAATCACACCTAGTGATAAGCAAATCTGTTTAAAAAAAAAAAAAAAATGCACATAAAAATAAGCCATTAGTCACCTTGGAATGTCTGTGAAGGGACAGCAGGGGGGCTGGGCAGTGGGTTGGTGAGGAGGTGAGGCAGGTCACAGAGTCATGGTCACACCACGGCCAAGGCAAAGAGCTTCTGCCTTGGGTGAGTTCCCAGGGATTATCTTGTTGAACTAGAGGGGGTGGGTGACACCTGTAACTAGGATTCTTTTGGAACAACAATGTTTAATTCCAAAAGTTCCACCAAGGTGTTGACAAATCACAGTTCTTAAGAGGAAGTATAGTTATTATTTAAGGACTTAAAAATATATATTATAGCAAAAGCCTTGAGACTAAGGTTTTGCTTTACTTAGCCAAAAAAAGGATTAAGGGTTATTTGAATGGAGCCTAGAATAATCTCTACATGGAAGACAAATAGTAACATAAAGCTTAGAAATGATCAAACAAAATATAGCACCTGGAAAATGTAGAATAGACAAATTCAGACGAGGCACCAAAATTCCTTTTATAACTGTAACCATTTTAAGTGTAAACAAGCTTTAGAAGAATCTACCAACATTTGTTCTGGATTTTCCATCACTGGAAGTCCCACCTGTGTTTTGTGTTATGGACTAAATGAGCCCAGTGATCTCCTCTGATTTCTAATCTGTTAAGAAAAATAAACAGATCCTGTTCCAACATTGATTTCAGCCTTTACAAACCTATGTATTCCTCACAAGTTAGGAAAAGTTCACAATGGAAGTAAAATTAAGAGAGGTTTTTAAAAATTAAGTTAATCAATGGTATTTAAAGTGTGAATTAAGTACTCAATTTTATGTTCTCCCTGGTACAGATTTATATATATATATAATTTTCTCTTGAGAGAGCACAAACTGAGCTTATGAGAAGATAAGATACCTGCCCACCCCAGCAGCCTTGAGACTAATCACACATGCCTCTGGTAGTGGCTGTTTTTCTCACAGCACTGAAATATTTCCCTTCCATACTGAATATTGCACTGAGCCCCACAGCCCTGCTGAGCAGAGTGAGGGCTGCCTCATTACTCTTGCACTCCAGCTAAACAGACTGAACAAGGGGTTGTATTTAATCCATTTCAAACATCCAGGTGAAATATGCTTATTTGCTTCTTATCTAGGCTAGGACATATTTCACTTAAAGGTGAGTCTAATGGAAATAGCAAGTGATTTGTCATCAGCTTCAGTGGAACCCAGGATTATACTTACAGTACACATGGGGAGACAGGCTTTCTGAAAAGAGCATCCTGCCATCTCTATCACTTCATCATGGGAGCTTAATGCACCTCCATATTACACACCTGCATGTTCTGAGCCAATTACTTCTTAAAGGAAATTGGGCTTTTTTGCACCTACTCCTACTGTTGGGAGTCTTTCCCAGAACTTGAAATATTTTGTTTCTAAAACTTGAAGCCATTGCCTGCAACACCATGGCAAAAAAAAACTGGTTTGTTTTTATGGTTGGGCGCACGTTGTTTTCTTAAGTTCATCCAATACAATAAGCTCCACATCAGTTTATTTTACTGAGATGGTGTTTCTGTCAGAACTAAACCAGAGATTCTGGATAGCTGAACAATTATTCCTTCCTCATCATTCTCATTGTGCTTCAAATCACCGCCAACACAGTTAATCTTTTTCTCCCTGTGAAACAACAAACATCCAATAAATGAAATAAACTTCTAGGGTAAACTTACCCAGTTTTTGCAAAAGTTGCCCAATATCTCATCATGGACCTGCTTAGGGTTTCTTCAGCTTTGGTGTAATTCACTTTTCTTTCTAAGGGCAACCCGAACACGAACTCGATCTCGTACCCGTGCATGACTCCCATCCACTCTGGCCAAGGGAGCTTTGATGACCGATGTTCAAAGAAGTAAAAGAACACGTTGCTCCCTGGTTGTGCAAATTTTTTGGTGAATTCTATCGTGGGACATATTATATTGTAGTCACCAATAACATCATCCATGGCATCACGGTAATGTTCTGCTTTTTGTTCGTTTTCCCAATCTGTGTACTGAAAAATGATTGATTCTATTGCAAGCTGGCTTGCCTGTGGGAAGGCCAGAGTTAAAGCTTCTTCAAATTGTGTTTTATTGATCAAGCCATCACCATCCTTGCTGAAGCCAGGGACTCCATATGCTAGAAATGCTGATCCCTCATCCTTATTAACACCGACTAAGATCTGTGTTTGTTTGAAAAGACCCTTCTCGATCAACGTTTCTGGCATGTCAGAGAGAAAATCCCCATCCACAGCTGGACAAAAATAGACTCGTAAAAGAGAGTCATGTGTTAGAGCAAAAATTTCAGACTCCAGTAAATCCTTTGGGTCCTTGTCTTGGAGGCACAGAATCAGCTCTTTCTCATTGCTGGTGGGACACTGGAGCTGTTTAGCTAAAGCCATTGTTCTGTTCCTGGCTTCAGATGCTGTTATGGCAGTCCAGGGGGCATTTGCAGATCCACTTTGCATGATGGCCCTTGTGAATAAAGGATGGCTTTTAGGAGAAAGGATATGGTAGCTGACAGAAGCTGAGCCAGCACTCTCTCCAAATATAGTCACACTTTTTGGATTGCCTCCAAATGCTGCTATGTTCTCCTGGACCCACTCAAGTGCCAGTCTTTGATCAAACAAACCTACATTTCCGGGAGCTTCCTGGTTTCCTGGCAAAGCCAGAAATCCTAGTGCAGCAACCCTGTAGTTCATGGAAACTACAATGACTCTTTCTACCCTGGCCAGAAATTTCCCATCGTAGACTGGTAGGGAAGTTGACCCAGTCTCAAAGCCACCACCATATATCCACACCATGACAGTTGCATTCTTGGGTTTGGGAGAAGGAACCCATACATTCAGGTATAAGCAGTCTTCACTTAGGTTAGTTTTTGGGTTCCACATCTCTGTTCCAGGAAATCCTGGGTAAGTTGTATCTAGAAGCTGGTAACAAGAGTTTGCATGTCTTGTGGCATCCCAAACATCTGACCACTCTTCACGAGGTTCTGGTTTTTGAAATCTCAGTCTACCAATGGGTGGCTGTCCATAAGGGATTCCAAGGAAGGCTGTGACAGTTCCCCCCAGTACCTGCAAGTTTGTCCCTCTGACTCTGCCTTTCTTGGTTGCAATGATGTTATCTTCAGGCATTACTTTCCTGATTAACATATAGAGGAGAAGAAGCCACATAAGAAACCTGGTATAGACACTTGTACCATTTGTCCAAATCATGATACCTGAAACACAGAAAAAAAAATAATTCAGAATAACAATTGCAAGGTGTTAGTTTCAGAGCCAAAACTGTCTATTCAAAAAGGGTGTAGGTTATCCCAAGGGCACTGAAAATAAGATGGTGCTGCTGTACAAAGCTCAGTGCTCTTTAACCATCAGTTCTTTTTAGTTGTCTTGCAAAGACTGTGTTTAGTATTTTGTGTTGTGCACAGTGCTTCAGAAAAACTGTCACTAAAACACCATGGAACTGAAGAAGCCAGACCAGGGAAGATGAAGTCATGTAAGCAGACTGACTACTTCAGTTAGCAGATGACTTAACCTTTTGCATTTCCACCAGCACAATGAACAGGACATTGTATGATCTGTGACAGAAAATGCCATTCCCCACTAGCCATTATTCTGTTAGAGGTTACCTTGGCAATTTGTGTTTGCAAATCAATATAGAGTGAGAGGCACAGATTTTTTATTTTTTTTCCCCACACATTAACATGTATTCCATCAACACTGAAGAGAAGCTTGAACCCAAGTTTTAATCCAAGGATTTCAAGGTCTATAAGCTTTGAGCTATGTACTCATGTCACAGGAGATGTCTGGGCTGAAGCAAATCACTGAGGTGGCATCGCTGTAAACTCCATGCACTGAGTGGTTGCTCTGTCCTACTTGTATGTCTTAAGATCTGAAGCTGCTTTAACAAGTGAAGTTCATGAAGTGCCTCTGAACTGTCAGTGTGTCAGCTCCTGTGGGTGACTGCCTGCAGAGCTACACCAAGATCTCTTTTCTCTAAAGCAACTTAACCGACTGCCTGCAGAGCTACACCAAGATCTCTTTCAAGATCTCTTTTCTCTAAAGCAACTTAACTGAGTTCACAACCATCACAGCCTTGACATGTAGTCATTCCTCTGCTCCTTAGAATGAGCAGGACAACGCTCAAAAGCCAAGGATTTTTTAATGTATGTAGGTAGTGCCTAATAATTTAAGAATGGTCTGGTCTTTGTTTCCTGAGAGCTTTTCAAAGTGAAATATATTAAAGGTAAGGGTACAGATACTGATTATGTACCACATTCAAGCATATCACAGTCCTAATTACCCCAACCTTTGCAAAAGCTCTAAAAACCACAGTATCTTCCTCTTGAAATTGAAAAGCCAGAAAGAAGACTATTTGCATAAGCCCATTTCTGTGGCTTACATATTTGAAAATGCTTAACAAAGCTTCCTTCTATTTTTTTCTGGTTGCCCTGTTGTACATAGTGTACTCTGGCCACTTTAAACAGGCCATTCTTTGTTAATGAGAAGCACTTGTGTCCTTAAAAGGACTGAGGCTAATTTCTGTGGAGAGTACAGCTGGGGCCACATCTCAGCTCTCTGGTCTGTTTGTGTGCTCTTGGAAACCAACTCAGAAAAGGCAGGGGGGAAAAAAGGAAGAGTTTGCACAAGGAGGTTCCTAACTTTGAGATAACACCAAAGGAGCAGGGAAGAATCTTCAGGCAGTATTTTTAGCATTCATGTACATAGATAGATAAATATTAGATATCTTTAATATTTATGCTCTTGTATTTTTATTTAAAAAAAACCAACCAAACAACAACAACAAAGACAAGGTGGTGACTGGGGGCAATAGACTTCAGAGTTGCTTTGACACTCCACCCAGCCTTCAGCTTGATTTCTAAAAACCTTCAAATGCTGCCAGGTGTGCTGAACCTCAGAGGTGTCAGTAGTCAATCTGGAGGACTCACATGATCCAGCAGCTCCCGAGGAGCTGAGATAAGCTGAGGGTCACTGCAGCAGCCTGCAGTACCTGCACAGACACATCATTTAGTGACATTTAGCCCTCTATATGCTAGCCAATTTTTTTTTTTCCCAGTCATTCTTGTAATAACATCTTGTAAGAGTCACCTAAGAAAAGGAATGTAAAGATCAGCTTAGGGCTAAAGTCTTTCACCCCATCTCACAGCTACCCCAATTGCCCTGGTTGGCTGTGAGAAGTGTTAGCATTGGGTGTCTAGTTGGGAATGTCTGCACCCAGTGCACAGCACTGAGAGATGGGAGAAGGAATTTCTCTGAAGTCTGTTGTTCCACTGACTCTTTTTTCCACACACTCACTTCTAACATCCCCCCCAGGGCCAAACCACAACAAGCTGGAAATAATGAGAGATTTCAAACATCATCATTATGAAGAAGATAAAATGACACTAGGAAAATCAAGAGATGTTCAAGGACTTAAAGCTTTTAATACCTAAATAGAAACTAAAATTAATTCCTTACTGCACTTTCCTGTTAATTGAAAAGGAATAGAATGGGAGGAAAACAAGGTAGCATTGCAAAACACAGAAGTATGACTTTTGACCCTAAGAGGTTTTAGGCAAGAATCTTAGGAATAAAAAAAAACTAACAAAAAAAAAAAGAAGTTCTGTACCTTTTTAATTAGCTCTGCAAAAGAACAGGTGGCATTTTAAAGAAAAAGATTGAGCTTGAAAAAAACAAAAGTTGTGTATGGCTGAATAAGAAGACTCTCAGGTTATTCTGCTAATATTAACAAAAGCAGCAAGTGATAGAGTGATTATTACACCTTGAATGTACAGCAAATATTAATTTTATTAAGGTTTTTAATGCTGCATTAAAACAAACTCTACCATGTAAAGCACACTGAGCAAAACAAACATTACTAGATTATTACTATGAGAGTAAAGGGTCAGAAGATTGTTTTAGCTCATCAACCTTAACTGAGCAGAGATAGATCATAGAATGTATTTGCATACTTTAGAAAGCTGCTTCTGTAGTAGTTCCCTCCAGCAAAAATTTTTTGTTCTTATTCAGCAACGGAACGTAATTTATTTCAATGACTGTTTCCTCTCCTAGCAAACCTTTACCCAGCCAAAACATTTATACACAGGACTATATAATCAGAATTTAAATAGAAAAGATGGTTGAATTAATAAGTGATTTCCAGTTTGGCTTAATTTACTTAGCCCTGGATCCCTTGCATTGCACCAAGGTCTGACACACACGCCTGCTCACTCCTTGCATTTGCAGAGCAGAGGGAGTTTTCCCAAGAGAGCAGCAAATGGGCAGAGCGTAACTCCTTAAAAAGATCCCAATCCCCCTGCAAATCAAGCTGTGCTGTAAATCACCCTGTCAGAGAGAGAGGTGCAAAGAGAGAATCACTTACCTGACTTCTATTACAAGAGCTACAAAGTTTTTAGGAGTCGGGATCTTCGAGTACTGCAGGGAAAGTGCAGTGTGCAGCTGCTGCCCGGAGCCCGTGGGTTGGACAGCCCTGACACGCTAATGGACTGTTTGTGACACAAGGCTCGCGAGAGCTGGCAGCAGCAGCTGCTCCAGCAGCAGCAGCACCTCCATCAGCAGCAGCAGCTGTTCCATCAGCAGCAGCTGCTCCATCAGTAGGAGAAGCTCCAGCAGCTGCAGCTCCAGCAGCAGCAGCTCCATCGCCGCAGCCGCTCCTTGTGCCCCGACATCTGCCCGGGGGCTCAAGCATCCTGCTTCAAGTGCCATAGGGAGAAACCCCTTCTGGGAAAAGCCAGGCCTGAGCTTTTCATAGGAAAGGGAAGGTGCAGTGATTCGTTCCTAGCATGGGGCAACAGATTTATAACCTAGAAAGATAAGCAGAATTTCCTTATGAGGAGAGGCTGAGAGGCCTGGGGCTTTTCAAGCTAGAGAGGAGTAGACTCGAGAGGGGATCTAGTTAATGTCTGTAAATACATGAGGGCTGGGCATCAAGAAGGCAGGGACGAGCTCTTTGCCCTTGTACCCTGTGACAGGACATGTCAACAACTGGCGAACATCAGCTCTGCTGCTTGACTCTTGGCCATCTGCAGGCTATGGCAGAAATCTGCATTGTCCTTTTCTAATGTTAAGGTTGAATGGTACCCATGTGGTGTCACATGCTGTTTTCCCTCTCCTTTTAGGCCTAGAACCAGAAATCACCCATGCTGCTTGGTACACCTGATACCCTCTTTTTGCCTGTACCTCTGGAGTTTTGTTTCCACCGGAATTCAGCACTCCAGGTACAAAACCAGCCCAAGCCACAGGTCAGAGCTGTCAGATGCAGCGTCACTGGGGACATGTCCTGCAACATAAGGGGGGCATTTAAATTGCAAACATTTTGAGGTACAAATAAAGGCAGAATAGAGGAGGGTGGAGAAGGTGAGGAATTTCCATATGCCACCCTTAGAAAACATCTTGTCAAACTCATGTCTCTGAGCCCTCACGTGAAACCAGAAGGCCACCCCTGGGTGGCATCTGCTCTCCAGCTCTGCTCTGAAGAAAGTAGCTTTTTCTCAGTTGGAGTTTTTTTTTCCTATCAGGAGCCTTTTCTTCCCCCGTTAGAGGTGAAGACAATTACTTTCCCTCTGTTTAATAATCAAAGTACAGCTTTGTTTCAATTACACAAAAGCAATATTTGGTGATGCATGGAACGGGAATAAAGCAGAAATAAAAAGTTAAGTATGAGGTTTATAGACCTTAACATAGAGACTACAAATGATTGTTAAAAGCTAGCATGTGAAATAGTGTTTTAATAGGAAAAAGCTGAAGAAAGCAAGGCCATTTAGTTTCTCCCAGTAATTTTACAGTCTACCTTTAAGATCAGACATTCCTTAGTCATATTGAAGAAACATGTCAATTGGAGAGAATGTGTCCTGGTCTAAACCTAAACCAGGATATAAATCCCTGAGCTTTCAGTGTATAAGTGTCCAAAATAGCTGCCAGTTGGGAATGCAGAATTCCCAGAGATGATTATTGTAAATAGAAATATTTAGTAAAATAGGATTAATTCAGGATCAACTCTAGTGGCAATTCTTGGTGATCAAAACTTCTGAAGTGAATTTTCCTGCAGGAAACATTCAGTTATGCTCTTTAAATTAAGGTAGTTTCCAATGTTCTCTGACTTGAGCATTCAGTGACTTTCTCTAATGCTCCTTCAACCCGTGTGGGAACACAGCCAGGTGACACACATTTGCTTCATTTCTGTGACATCAGAGGAATGAATCACAAGCCCCAAACCTTGTTAGAGGCCACTTTTAAAGAAAGTATATCTGATGCTTATGGCAAGCCATGGTATTCTCAGCCCTCACCACTGCCTTGAGCAGCATTGACACAACAGGAGACTCAAACACTCTGCTATTTCGGTCTTCACGTTTTCCAGCACTGGCCTTGTTGTCCCACATCTGCTGTCAGCATCACCCCAGTCTTCTGGACCCTCTCTGCTCCCCTTGCAGTGCCGAAGGCAGCTGGAGCATCCTCCAGCTCAGGGTTAGACACAGCTACTGAGTGCAAAACATGGAGCATTTCTGTGGGCTCTGACAAGGTGACCTGGGAGATGGGAATCAAATGTCTCAGGCTGTTCTTTGGGCAGTAGGAAGCACTGAAACCAGCCGTGGGGTTACCTGGATGTCTTCAGGGAAGGGGGGAATTAGGACAGACTGTTAATACTGTTGTACTTCTAGACTATTTTACTTTAGTCTAATGCTAGACTATTATGCTGTACTTTTGAAAACTAAGCCCTCTTCTATAATTTTTTCCTTTAATTAAAAAATTAACATATAAATTAAAGTTTCACAACTGTGTGCTGGGAGAGGAAACACTTACTTATTACTTAGCTTACTAAAAATACCTGCACAAAAATGAGAGACTGAAGACACTTAACGCCTTCAGTAATTCTGTGTAGAGTGGTCATTTTCTCAGTTTTCCTTTGGGAGCTTGAAAGGAAAGGAGGTACAAACCAGCAGATAAAACACTATATATATATGTCTGTGTGTGTGTGCATATAGGAGCTGTTATGCATATGTACAAATATGTATGTAAATATACTGGTACTTTTAAATATCTCTATCCATCTATCTACCTATCTATAATGCTGGGGTTTTTTTGAGGCTAGTGTACATTTTTATTTAAGGCAAGGTTCTTAAAAATCAGCATCAAAGATAAAAGTGTCTCTTCATTATTTAATGTGTACATTGTAGAATAGGTGTCACATGGACATAGGAATTTTTATATAAGAGATGTCCAAGACTCTTAAGAAATGGAAGAAGAGGCCAACTCTAGGAAAGGCTGTCACTTAATAGACTAAGAGGCTTTACAGAATGTAAGGAACATGTGTTATAGAAATATCAAACATTTTTGTTATGATCTTGTTCATTATTAAACTGCCCTTCAGGATATTACCTAAGCACATGCAGATGTTTACACTCATAAATATCTGAAATTCTGCACGTTCTGGGTCATCTTCAGGATTTACCTAATAGAGATGAGAAACCTATGGGAGATAAAACTGTGGAAAAAGACATATATTGAGTATTTCTAGTGGAAAACAAGTGCCTCTTTCCCAAGGTGTCCTCTGAGTTTGAAAAGGTTTACTTGCACAGGTAGATACTATGGGAGATAAAACTGTGGAAAAAGACATATCTTGAGTATTTCTAGTGGAAAACAGGTGCTGCTTTCCCAAGGTGTCCTCTGAGTTTTCAAGGTTTACTTGTACAGGTAGATATCAGTTCACCAGATTCAATCCTGCCCTTCCAACACATCTACAGATGTGTTGTGCCTCAGAAACAGCACTTAAGCTCCTGTAGGGATAACTGGGCTGAAAAGCTTTGCAAATGTCACTTCACATAAAGGGTATCACATAGGAAGTGTGTGTGTGTGAGTAAATACCTACATGCTAATAGTATATAAAAGTAGGGAACATTCCTATTTTTTAATTGCTGAGAGGAAAATCAAAAGGCAAATGACAGTTTACTCTGTGAAATGTCATTTGTATGAAAAGGTGGGGAGGTTTTATTTAAATTCCAGCCTTGGTGAGCTCCCCTGGGGAGGTTTAGCCATTTCTGATCCTCAGCTGAATTTTCACACTGAGCTTCTGTGTGACCTTGGCTCAGACCTCTGAGAAAACTACTACATTGTGAGAAAACGTTGTGAGGAAAACTAGTAAACCCAAGCTGTACAAGAGACAGAAGGTGAAGCTGCAGACAGGGGGCAGATTACTGAGATGGGGACAGTTAGCAGCTTAAGGACTCAGGGGGGCAAACACAGCGAAGCCACAAGCTGTGAAATCTTCAGATGACAAAAACAGAAGATGAGAGCTCAGCAGCAGCAAGGAAATCCAAATGCTCAACTTTGGCACTTATATTCTTGTTATTTTACTGTGCATATTAAGAAATACATCATTGTCCTTTACTTTTGAGTGTATCCTCCTTGCAGAGCACCTTCTCATACCTGAATACAATGGCCTTAACTGGTTATACCTGTCTCCTTTTTCTGTATTTCTTTTGCAAAGCTCCCACTTGGTACTTAGTGCTCACTCCAGCTCTTCACACCCCTCAGTGTAACCCAGGGACACCCTCAAAAGGCTGGAGAGAGCTTCAGTGTTTCTATGGGTGATTGTATCTGGTGGTCAGACCTCCCTGAAATTCAGTTCTTCAAAGAAACCTCATTCCAGAGAGCTTCCAAGACTAGCAGAAGTTCCCAACATAGATCTGAAGGATAATTTAATAATATTAGGAAAGGTGTCTTGGATATACACCATGAAAATGGAAACCAATTTATTAAGTATATAGAAGACACTGGCACTCATATAAGCCATTAAACATTATTATATTGTCCTCTTATTGGTTCAGTTATGATCTGCTGTACCTTTCTCCTTATTTCTCTAATTATAGGTTGGTATAATTTCCTCCTTAGTAGCAAAAATACAATCTGTACTTTTATAGAATTCTTGGGGAAGTCAGAGCCAATGAGAAAATGTAGCCAGTGAAAAGATAAAGGTACTATTACTATTGTTATTTCTTTTGAATGTTCAGTCACTCATAATTCATCATGGTACTCTTTTTGTCTTATATAGGGATGAGATTTAATAAAACAAAAAAATATTCATCTATCTACAACATGTCTTGCAATGACATTATTATAGCCTGCTGCTTGGCTTGTAAGAAAACAGGCAAACTTGGGAGTGTCAGCAAAGAACTGAAATCCTGTGTGAGCATGATAAAGCTAATGAAATTATAAGTTAGCTTTCACAGATTAATTAATTGAAAATGGAAATTGTTTCCATTTCTGTTTCTTTTTTATTTCCTGTGGATAATAAAGCAGATGTTTAGTTACTTGTTTAGATAGTAAAGCAAATTGTTTAAACTTCTGTAAAGGTACTTGAATAGCCAAGCTTGGTTGCTGGTAATTACCTACTGACAGCAGTGTGAAGCTCATATCAATAGTATGGCCTCTCACACCCCAAATCTGTGAATATCTAAGAATTAGTTACTCATTTGAATCTGTTAAGTAGAGCTTGTATCTG